CATCTTAGTCCTCACGGGTGACAACGCATCTGCATTTTGATTCATATTTGAGGATAGATGTAGATGTCTATGGGCCACAGCAACCACTTACTATCAGGTGGACTGTGTGCTCTTTTGTCACCCTTATCCTATAAAAAATCCCCTCATTTAGAGTTACGGGAGTACACTGAGTCGATGGATACACTCTTTACCGTAGTACCTTCAGAAGCCGCTCCATACTTTTTGTTATAAATATATCAGTCAAACATACTATGTCTATTTCTTTATTATTTTGTGAAAATTCTGAGTGCAGATATAATTTCTTTGGACTTATTTATAACACCAGCAATGTTTTGGTGAAGTATGGTTAAGTTATAATTTTTTTTTATATAACTTAACCATACTTCACCTTTGACGAATAAACGTTTCATTTTCGTTGTTACTAATCCTATTCAATTTGTTTTTTAAAAAGTAGTAAAGTAATGTGCCTTTTTTTGGGTCACACCTTTGTTCTCAATCTTCTCCCTTATCTGGTTCAGACCAGGGTGAAATTGCTGTGGCTCATTATTTCGGATGTCACTAGAAATAGTAGATCCTTTAATTTTTTAAACTGCTTATTACATGCCAGGAACTCGATTTCCACGTGCAATTTAAAACTTAACATTGTAGTAAACTGTTTAGAATTATTACGAAAAAGGTCGTTATATTTTAGTTTTACATATCGACAATTGCAATAATTATTTACCATTAATTTTATATTACTATTTAACAAATTTTCATTTAAAAAGGTATTGTAGATACAGGAGATCTACATATAACGAAAACATTGTGATTTCGCAAAAGGTATAGCATATTACTTAGGTCTGAAAGTATTTTGTAGGGATGCTTGTCAATCGATCCAAATGCTAAAATCACAATGTCTTCGCTCTTTAGCGATGACATTATGCTTATACAAAATTCCAATATTTCACAGCTTTTCTGCTGATGGTTTAATTACGCCTAGAACATCGTACATGTCGTCGTTATTTTTTTCTTCGCCTGTCATAATATATTTGAGAAGCTAATACAAGAGCTTGCTCATCACCTATTATTAATATTTTCTTCTTTGGAATACTGGTGGTATCCAGAGGAGTGGATTTTTCCGAAGTTATTATGTTGAGATCAAATTTTGTTGCTATTTTCTCGGATTCCCTATCCTTTTGTGGACATCCCATGGCAAACCCATTAAGGGGTTAAATTAAATTTTGTAAAAGATCTACTTTTATAAAATTTAATTTAACCCCTTAATGGCTTAAGGCGGCTTACAGCGACTTTTAGGCGTTTCATTGAGATGATATCCGTTTCCTGAGTTGTGGACAGGTGACAAGCGAGGTATTTTCATTAGAATATTTGTAAGCCTCTTTATCGTTGGTGAATTTCGGCACGACGTCGTTACAAGTGGAGTGGTTGTTAGCTCAATAACAACCTAGATATATTTTTATGGAACTGTATCTGTTTATTTTTTTCTGATAATATTTTGCGTAATGAGTGTATTCGGTTTATTATTTCTTAGTGAGCGCTTGCATTCTCAGTTTGTAAAATTTTGATTTTCTGGTTTAATTCAAAAATCTCATACAATTCATTTTCTAATAATACGGGAACACTTTTTGATAGCAAATCTAAATCTTCAGGAGTGGAGCTAATAAAGATGACATTTAAATATATGCAATTTTTTTCTAAAAGTTATATTGTTATTTTCCATGATCAATTTATGTTGTTACGTCTTAGTAGATGCGCCATCTATCGCTATGTAACAACAATAGTGCGTATATCTATCTCTGTTATTGAAAGTAGTTTTAGTAGATCCCGCTAGATGGCAATACTTTAATGGATAAATTTTTCTAATTAAAGGTTCTGAACCTTTATTTTTATTTTTCCTTTGTTAATATAAATGTCGTCATAATATGTCATAAAATTAAAAAAAAAAACAGTTTTAAAAATAATATTGAGTACAACAATTTAATTTTGTTTAAGAATGAAGATTTTATCTCTTTTTACATAAATTAATCATAAGTCATCGCGCGCTTTGACTAGATACCGCGCTCCCTGCAAGTAACAGCTCCGTGAATGCGGCATCTTAATATTGTAGTATGTATAAGACAATTTGCATGATGCTAGTGTGCGTGAAAAATTGTATATGCCAGCAGCTTAACTATTAGCCGATTAACGGGAAAATTTATTTTATGCTATGGCTTAGTATTTAAGTTCATAGTTATGAATGTATTCCAGAAATACTTAAAAATGAATAGTTTATTAATAACGAATGTATCAATATATTTGTGTATATTATGTATAGGCTTTTCTTCTGAATAAATGACATATAAATGATAAGGCCTCCTTTTTATCAGTTTAATTTTATTATTAACATGTCTAACTAATATTCACAAATTATTTTAAAAAAATAGTTAAATATATGGTGTAATCAAAATAGGGCTTTCTATTCTACGCGTCAATATGAACAACTTTTACTATAGATCTATCTTCCTAATCACAAGAAAAATCAGGTCTTCCATACATTTTGAGAATTTGTATGGAATAACTGACTTTGAGATATTTTTTATAGGATCAGGGTCACAAACGAGCACTCAGTCCACCTGATGGTAAGTGGTTGCTGTGGCCCAAAGACATCTACGTCTATCCTCGGTTAAGAATCAAAATGCAGATGCGTTGCAACCCCTGAAGACTAAGATAGAATGCCTCGTTTCCAGTAAAAAGGGTCTCCGGTTCTCTACACTCACCATAGGAAACACAGCAGCGTTCAGCTCCTATTTGACAGATTCCTATTCTCACAGAATACCAGTCTGTGAGAGCGTGGTCCGTCCCCGGTCGAGCTGACCCATTCGTGCTACTACTATACCAGTAATATAGCTGCAGTATGGATCACGTATAAATTTAAAATTTCGAAGATGATCCCATAATAAAAAATATTCATGTTGACGGGCACATTCATTCCCTAAGTTATTAAGTACTATTTTGTTACACCTTTAGTTAGTATATAAGACTGGGCAAAAAGTTTCTTCATGTATTGTATACAAATTCAAGACGTTTTTGTTTTAAAGTTTTATTACATTTAATTATAATATATATGGGTCCATTCTGTTCGATAATTTGTTACCATCTTGTAGGTGACATAATAAAAAATAAACGTTGCTGTAGAAATCTTGGGATTTTGATTAAAAAAATGCGACAAGTAGTTTTATTTGATATATTCAATACCAGAGATTAGAAGGAACATGTATTTAGTCATCCTATTTATAATGAAAAAAAATTATAAACTTAAATATTAAAACCTCCAGAAAGCTTTCTTTTAAAGTACACAAGCAACAAAAGGAAATAATGACTAAACCTTTTAAACCAGTTTTAAGTACTCAAGCAAATACAAGATTTTTAGGAATGTTAGTGTGTATTGAAAGTCTCAAACAGATAACTAATCTTGTGATCTGGCGTTATCATGAGGAAAGACCACTCCTTTTCTGATTATCAATGCCAGCCGTTTTTTTTTTTTGTATTTCTTGCTTGTCTCATTATTTATTGGTAGTAGAGATCCGAATCGATGGTTTTATCCGGCGGTAAAAGCTCATGATAAACTTTCAATACCACCATACACAGCATCATTTTATTGCGTGTTAATCTACGTTTCGCTTTAGTCTGTAAACAAAACACATATCAATACAGAAAAAAATCACGTTTCTTGTATGGTCTTCATACAACATACAAACGTGATTTTTTGGGTCCTTTAATATTTTCCTTGTTTTCTTTTTTATGTTGTTATAGCAGCAATATAAATAAACATTCTGTGAAAATTCTATATATTACGGTTCATAAGATACAGCCTACTGACAGACAGACGGAACCGATAGTGGAGACTTGGGTCTCGTTGATACTCTTTAGGTACGGAATCCTAATAAATGGCAATTATGTCATTTTAACAATACTACAGAAATAAACATTAAATAATATAGAATTAGGTTATATTATAATAAGTTTAATATATTATATTATAAAATATAGTAACAATAAATTCACATATCAAATCTCAGCCACGGGAAACTTTATTTTTGCATTCGCGGCAACACTGAATAGCGTCATTGATATTTTGTGACTTATTTATGGCTCGTGTTATTTTATGTTAAAATTTCGAAATTGTATGATACTTAATGATAGTATGTGATTCCAGTGTCTTTCTTATTTCTTGTAGTATTATTTTTACACAGTTTCTAAAATTCTAAAATTTAATAAAACATTCGGTACGTTCACCTCACACGTTGCCTGCAACGCGACTTTCAGTATATAAAAAGTACTCTGTGAACGCGACTGGCTCGGGTACGCCGATTTCGGCGTAGTATTTGTTGCCGCATTTTACATGAGCACCGGCGGTATCTAGTCAGAGCGCGCGATGACTTATCATTAATTTATGCTCTTTTTATTTGAAACACTTAGAGCTAGAAATACGTTTAATGAAATAAGTTTAATTTAATACAATACGTTCGGTAAAGTACCAATGACTTACATTCAAAACGTAAAATTAATGATAAAATTCTGATGTTACTGTTTTATTTTCAAAAATTAACAGCCGTTATTTTGACTTATTTTCAAATAAGGTAGTAAAGTCCTTTTCATGAAAGAAGTCCAGCGGTGATTTTTGGAACTAAATTTGACAGGTCCGCCATGTTGTCGTTCGTCGATGTTATCAAGTTCGTTTGTTGTGGTAGATTTTTGTGAGTTTTAAACTAACTTAGTGCATTTTAAAGATTGTTTACAATGCCAAAAGTTGTAAAAAGTTCGGCTCGAGAAATGATATTGAAGGTGAAAGAATTCTGTGAAGCTGAACAAAAGAATCAAGGTGTTTTAATACAACTGAACAATGTTCGGAAGAGAGTCGCCGTCATAACAGGCAGCCATATAATAATTTTTTGCTGTATTGATGGGACTTTTATGATATAAATTCGTTTTGCGACAAAATTGAACAAATACATAACGTGATGAAATTAGGTAACCGAAATTAAAACGTATATTACATAGTACATAAGCATTATAAACTTAAAGTGACTATTATTTTTAATTGTTCATTCTTTAATTGCAGATGTGTCAGAGAAAACTATAACGAGAATTACAAAAGAAGGTATAACAGCGGCGAGTACTTCGAAAAAAATTGTCACCCCGGGGAAGAGTCGCTCGCATCCGAAAAAGTTCGACTTAGACGGGTTCGATTTGTGTGCTATCCGGCAAAAAATTCACAGTTTTTACGTTGTGCATAAAGAATTACCAACTTTGGCTAAATTACGAGCAGCTCTTAGAGAAGACATCAATTTTCAGGGAAGCATCACAACTTTGCACAGGATATTAAATAGGATTGGTTTCAAGTACAAGCGATGTCAATCCAGACGCGAGCTACTTATGGAACGTCACGACATTACCGCATGGCGTGCAAGATATTTGGATAAAATACGAATAAATCGCACTGTGGAAAAACGACCCGTTGTATACTTAGATGAGACCTATATACACAATACTTATCATATAAAAAGTTGAAATGAAAAAATGTGGAAATTTAACTTTTTTTTATTAGTTATTAATTTTTACTTTACAATAATTTTGTTTACAAATTTAATAATTAACTTATTAATATGTATATACATTATTAAAAAACTAAAACTTGTAACTTAAAATAAATTAATTATTAAACTTGTTATCCAAATTATTGTAAAGTTAAAATGAGGACTGTATGATAATTAAGTTAATTATCATACAGTCCTCATTTTAACTTTACAATAACTTAATTATCATACAGTCCTCATTTTAACTTTACAATAATTTGGATAACAAGTTTAATAATTAATTTATTAATATATACAATATTAAAAAAAAACTATAATTAAAGAAAACCAAAACTAATAACTTAATTATCATACAGTCGTCATTTTAACTTTATAATAATTTTGTTTACAAATTTAGAATGAGACCTGTTTTTTGATCCCATTTTAGCTTATTAGAACCATAATATAAAAAAAAAACTAAAACCAGTAGCTTAATTATCATACAGTCCTACTCCCCACGGTATCACACCAAGAACGCTGGCTGTGTTTCCCCACTGAATGACTATAGGTACTTAGCTTTTGAGCGAGAAAAGAACTAGCCCTCTATTTAGAATTAATGGATAAGTATCAATATAAGATTCACCAGTTTCACCACTTTCGTTACTCACTTCCCTTTCATGTCCTTTAAACAGGCTCTTTTTGTTTAATAATTGTGCACAAACATCATCTCCATAGTTACAAGATGAGAGGTGAAATTTAATGAAAACAGTAATCAATAAAGATTTAAGAGCATTTGTGAAATTGTAGCAAGTTGGATTATTGTCCCTAAAATTATATGATCTTATTTGACCGACAAAAAATTAGATTGCATCGTATATAGCAGAAAAATATAAAGGTTATGAGACCTTTATATTTTTATTGGACAAAAACTGCCACAAACATAAATCTTTTTATGGTACTTATCCAGTTCTTTATATTGGGCACTGCACATACATGACCATTTTTATTAATAAATTTTAAATTTTCTAGTTTTAACAAAGCTTGCTGCCTGAATGCATGGTGTCTACATTTTTTTGTAACAGCAATTCTTAAATCTTTCTCTCTTCTTTTTTATTTATCACCGCACTTCCATTCACCCTGTCAAATAGGTCATCCATAAAAGATACTATTTCTGCAGTATATTTCAGTATTTTGCTCACTGGCCGCTCATCCGAATAATGAGCTGTAATAAACATTAGAAATATTATAAAATTTGAAATATAATTAAGTACTCTGTACAATATATTTAAGTTACAGAAGAAGTTTGTGTTTTTTTAGAATTAAGCATGACAGGCAAGCACCCATTTCTCTTGATAGCAAGTGAATGTTGTGGCCCACAGACACCTACATTAATCCTCGACTTAGTATCAAAATGCAAATGCATTGTCATCCTTGAAGACAAAATAATGCCTTGTCACCAGAGTCTTAGTTTCTCATCACTCACCATATAAAATACTACAGTTTTATGGTGCTATAAATCTAATAAAATAATTAATATAACTTACAAAATGCAGAGGTATAAATTAAGGCTCCTGTCACGGTTTTACTAAATATACGAACATAATTCTTAACCTGCAAATAATCCAAAAAAATTGATTAAGAATAAGTTTATTACATGTACAAAAATTAAATTACATGTAATTGAAATAAAATTACAATTATTTTATACCTTCATTTTTTACTATCAGGAATAACATATTCGTCATTAAGAGGCCGGTCCTTAAGAAACGCGCAAATAGGCAGTTACGGTTTTAAAAATATTAAAGAACTGACTCCATTGAATGACACCACAAAAAAATCTCAATTAGTTAATAGATGGGTCTACACTTTCACCGTGTGATGTTATAAAAAACATCTTGATTGTTGAGAAAAATAAAATCTTCAACAATGGTAAGAACACTTAAAACGGCCTTTTCTATTTTAAATCTCTAGGCCATTTCTTTATTATTTTAGAAAATCTTTTTGGTTAAAACGTGAGATAAAAGTATATACAACACATTCACCATTCATTATTTTTACTAATTCAAACCAAAAAGCAACAATCTAAGTCTAAATATCATATATAAATATAATATTTTTTAACAGAAATCGTCCATACATTTTAGTATGAAGCGGTTAGGTTTCCGTAATTCGCTTTATATTAGAGAACAGAGAACACGCGTTAAAAAATTCAGTGCCGCCTCAATTTTCGAGGTGAGTGTACGTCCGCTTGTAGCCCGATTTGACACGTCGAGTAGATATATCTATTGTTTGATATAGCATAAGGGTGGGTCGCGAGTGTCGGACAACAGTATTTTTATTATTTGTATTCTTCAAGTAGACTAACCAGGTATGTGAGTTTTATTATGTGTTGTTTTTTGTAATTATCAGAAATTAATGTACTTAATAAAATAGTAATTTACTTTAATATCTATTTCAGGTAGATAATATGGGAAAACGCAAAGAAAGTTATTAGAATAAAAAAAATCTAATTAATAATGTAAGCATATGAAGTGAACCACTCGGAAACTCGCTAAGCAAGCAGTCTTTTTTAGACTTGACACAACCACCGGTGACTGAACCTCAAGACTCAAGGTTCGGATCATGGATACCTCAGTGGGGATCTGGACCTTGAGTGAATTGTTGATCAGTGGGTTACCCTCTGTGGTGTCCATCCATTGTGATATCATTTCAGACTTTCTGGAATAGTCCTGTCCTGATTGACTCGTCCGGTTCTTTGTTGAGGTTACCATCCGATTACGATGACGCTTAGGTTATTTTAGTAATATCTTATGCCGAGGTTATTATTACAGTAGTTAAACTTAGATTGATAACTAATATTTATAATATAGAAGTTATCTAGTCAGTTAGGCTGTCTTCTAATGTTATGGTTTTTCATTAGTGCTTACAAAATACAATACGTAACAATAACTATGTGGTTCCCTTTAAGTGAGTTATCAAAATCAGTATTCAAACGTATATAAATAATTTTACTTCAGAAAAATCAATATAAAAATAATCAAATTAAATTTAAATAAAATAATACTTGTAAATTGTATATGCTTTGATTACATCTTATAAAACACAAAAACTTTAATTAACATAGGTATTTTCTATCGGTTGTTGATAAACAACCTTATTTTTAACTCTTTTAATGACAATTGAATTGTGACAAAATTTTATGTGTATTAAACTTTTCATGTTTTTAAACTTAGAGTAATTAGACATATAGTGATAGTGACATTCAAAATTCCGTTCAAAGTTGAAGCAACAACACAATGAATGTGTGCATAAGCGGCCTGTAATTACGTTTGCCCACACGCACACAAGCAAATGAATAATGTTTGCAAGTTAATGACATTCTTCCCAAAAAGTGGGGAAAATATAATAGTAGACATCGTCATAGAATAAATATTTAGGTTGCGTTTATAATTATTTATTAACTATTTGCAAAGAGAAAAATGTAACATTATTTATTTTTGTTAACTTTTCTAATATTTAAATTATTTATATACGTAATATCTTGTGTTATATTGACAAATCTATTATGTAATCATATTATATTATTCTGTTAGAAGTGCTATATTTTTTTATACGATAGGGTGACAAACGAGTACACAGTCCACCTGATGGTAAGTGGTTGCTGTGGCCCATAGACATCTACATCTATCCTCCTTTGCGAATCAAAATGCAGATGCGTTGTCACCCGTGAGGGCTAAGATGGAATGCCTCTTTTTGAGTAAATAGGATATCCGGTTCTCTACACTCACATAAGAAACACTGCAGTGTTAAGCTGCTATTTTACGCTGGAATTCTGTGAGAGCGTGGTCCTTCCCCGGTCAAGCTGACCCATTCGTGCTACAACTACACTACTAATTTTGCTGCAGCATGGTTCTACCACGTATAAAAATTATATATTTATATAAATATTTGTTATTTATCTTCCATAAAATCTTATATTATTTGTAAATATTAATTTTTGTATAATACTCAATGGCCTTATTCTATGATATATAGAGAAGTGGAAGAAATTGAGGAGGCAAATTCCTACGTCTATTTCTTCCAGTTTTTCCAATCCAGTCCCACTTACACTTAACAAGTGAATAGTTGTCAGATAATCATTTTAGCTGTCAGATATTTTGTCATTAGTTATTCCTTACTAACTTTGGCTATGGCCCGCGGCTTCAACCGCACATTAAAGCATACACTGATCTCGATTCTTGCCATTCTAAGAATCTACGTGATATATTTAATTGAAATCGGTTTCAACGTAAAAGTTACAACATACAACTTTCACAGAATGGATATAATATTAGAAGGAATCACGAGACTTAAGAGTGCTATCAGCTACAAGTCATTATTATTACTTTATTGGATATTATGTTTTGCATTAAAACAAAACAAGATTCGGAAGGAGATAACTATTCAAATAAAACATGAAATTAAAAATGTTTATTAAAAAATATAAAATAAAATAAAATGTACACAAGTACTTAAAAAAATATCTCTTAATTACCCTAAAACTGCAACTGTTTTCTAAACAACTGCCGCTTTGATGACGCTATCCTCGAAATGTTATCTTTTTTTAGATTCTTAAAAGAATCGAACTAAAAATGTTAAATGTATGTAAATTACAATAACAACTAATCATAAGCTATTTTATTTATCCTAAAAAACATACCATAAAAAGGTAAAAACAACTGCACATTATCAAAACAAAATAAAATCAACATATTTTTTTTCGTGGCAAATGTGAACCGTAATAATATTTGGCAAATAAAAATACCTATTTATATGTGAATGAGACTATTGATAGTATGTATGTATTTTTTTCAATATGCATTTTTTTATAATTATAATAATAAGAAAAAATGGGGAAAAATATTTTACTATGCCTAGCAACATTTTCATTATATTGGCGTCTGTCAAATTTATTATTTAGTTTTGATGAATGTTTTTTACAAAAATATAAGATGC